CCTGTACGACGACTTCAAAGTCAGGTGGTTGGAATTTTCTCGGAAGGATCTAATGGAGAAAAAAAGATCTCAAATCTATGTTCTGGTTTTTACAGAATTTGACCGGCTCAAAGTCCCTTTCCGTAATTGTTTTTCAATTTGAGAGAATTTAAAGAAATCGCAGAGAAAATGGAGTGTGGAATAAGGCAGAAAGACCGTTCACTATGGAAAGTGACTGGTGTAGAAGAAGATAATGCAATAAATGAAAGAAAGTGACCATTGCTAAGTTTATGTCAAATTTTGTGGAGACGGAAGAAGATTCAAACCAGTGGATAGAGGACTCTCGCTCTATTGGTCAAGACCAGAGATCGAGCCCCACCATCTATGAAAATCGTTGTGGTTTTTCTCTTGGCCAATGTAGATGCCTAGTATCTACCACTTTGAGTTCATCAAGGGGAATGATACTAGGCTTATTTAAACTGCTACTTCAGTATAAGTTGCTAAAGATTGATGATATGTATAAGGAAACTTACCATCAGGTTGATGGAGTCTACTACATTCTGATGATGAGGCATCCTTGCAGCAAACCTGTGTGGTATTGTTGAAGGCACAGGTTCCGTTAGAGGATAAACATTCTTGACACGCTTTCTCATCAATCTTCACCTTCACCTCAAACCCTTCACTTAAAGCACTTTCCAAACGTGTCAAATTCAACTCTTTCTCTTCTGGAACGAAGCTCCTAGGAACGTTAATCGTGAAACTATCTTTGCAGGAGTTGTGATAATCAAGGGTTTCAGATACCGAGACAGGACCTCTACCGGGACATGTATAACTCGAACGGTAAGCAAGGTTACGGTCGCAGAGGTAGAAAACAGTTAGGCTCTTGTAGTTTGGAGAAAGATCAAAGAATTCTGGAGGTAAGGTTGTATCTGTGAATGTAGCTTGGCAAAAAGGAGCTTGAAGCTCTGCACTTGCAAGTGTAAGAGTTTTAGATTTTTGATCGAAATGGCGAACATGGTACAGATGGTTCGAGATGATTATAGAGGTATCGTTTTTAAAGCAGTGGAGCTCCAGCGATGGATGACCACAAACTTGGCCACGATTCCCACCAGAGAAGGGGAAACCAGCTGTGATGTTACCACACTGGAACAGAGCCTCACACCACCCAAGTTCTGTTTTATTTGAAGCACAAGAAAGATGGTGGAAAAAGGAAAAGAGGAAGAACAAGACCAAAAAAGAAGTGGAGAGATGGTACATGATATGATTGAGATCTATGAACAGTGTGTCTTTTGGGGTTGGTTTGTGTTGAGAAGAGCAGAGCAAGTAATTAAAACAAAGACAGAGAGATAAGCATAAAGATGAGGTGGAAACGGTAAAGGGCCTGATGACAAAGTCTAGTGGGATAGTGACAGAAGCGGAGACTTGGAGGTTTACTTTTAAAGACTTTTTATTCTTTGTTTACACTTTGAAAGACTTCTCTTACCATTGTGATAAGGAACATATTTTCATAGTGGTCTAGGGGTTTAATGACTTATATTGGGGGTTAGAGGACAAGAGTTTCAAGTCTTCTCACTGCGATTTCAAATAAATTGAGCAACAGTGGATGTCTTAACTGACAAAATATTTGGTGTTCCATATGCTCTGTGGATTAGTATGGGTTTCGACCCCGGATCCCCCGGTTATCAAAAAAGAAAAACTCTGTCTAAGGAAATTGAMGGAACAACAAAATATATGCATTTTGTATAGTGTCTAAGGTTTGAGGTCTCCCGATGATTATGAGAAAACTACATGGTGCATAAGTAATCATGCACTCACTTAAGTTGATGGATGATCCCAATCATATCAAACTCTTAGAAATG